TAGACCTGCCACCCAAGACTCTGGTGTGACCTTCAGCAGGCTCTGGCGCACTTTGAACCTCGGTATCATCATCCTCCCGGGGTCGTGGGAGGGAGGGCAGTGCCGGCCGGGGTGGGGCTACTGCCTGGGTGCCCCAGGAGCCTGGCGTGCACCCAGCCCAGATGTGCCAGCCCTCCTTGCTGGCAGAGCCGCTCCTGACTCCCCAGACTCAATTAAGACGCAAACACCGCTGGTAGGAAGCCTTTGGAGAGAACGGGAGGCCGACCCCTGGGATTCTGTTATCAGATGGTTCGCCACCTGGCAGGTGGGGCCCCGGGCTGGGAAGTGCTCCCCAGACCCACTGCATGAGGCTGCGCGGGCGCTGCCCCTCTGGGCTCCAGTGTGTCCCTGGGAACAGTCCACTGGGCCGCCCCTGGGGCCTCTCAGGGCGTCGAGGCTGTGCTGGTACCGCCTGCTTGGGGACAGCAAGAGCCCCCCTCCTGGTCCCAGGGGCCTTGGCCCCCCATCACCTTGTGCCCACCGGGCCTTGGTGTGGTCAGACTTCTGCCGCTGCCGGAGCCCAGAGTCTGGGAGCCTCGTGAAAATGCTTTTACTGCGCTGAGTCAAGCTGGGGGCGCGCAGCAAGGCTCCCCGGCTCCCGGGAGGGGCAGGGCTCAGAAAGAGCATCCAAGATGCTGCTTCTCCAGAGAAGCGGGGGCTCGTGGACCTCAGGGCTGGGCTCTGGGCCAGCTGGGGGCTCGTGGGCCTCAGGGCTGGGCTCTGGGCCAGCCCCTCCAGGGATCGGCCCTCTGTGAGCCCCTCTAAGCCTCAGTTTCCTCATCTGCACGGAAGGGACGATACCTAACACCATGGAGCTGGGAGGATCCAGGCAGATAAAGTGCCCGCTCAGCACCTGACGTACAGCTGGTATTTAATAAATGCCTCATTAAGCTCTTTTATTCTCCTGGGGCCGAGCCGTGAGCCAGGACTGCAGTGTGGGAAGGCAGGGGCCTGACAGGAGAGACGTGGGGTCAGGCGGGCATTGCGGAACCTGGTTCCAGTCCCTTCCTGCTGTGTGGCCCTGGGCAAGAAACTTAATGCCCCTGGCCTGGCAGGCACGAGCTCCGGGTTCTGGTCCAGCCTTCACCACTCACTCTCCTTCCTGCTCCCCCAGTTTCCTCACGTGCACACGATCCACCCCTGCCCCTGGGGTCCCTGGTGAAGGGGTCCTGGGGGGCGTGGGGGGGTGCTTAGCATCTCCTGGATGAACAACTTGCTAGAGCATCTACCCCCTTTTTTGGCCGAGGCAGGCCCTCCCCAGTCCCAGCCCAACCCAGTCCAGCCTCACCCCTCTCTTGCAGAGGCTGCAGCAGCCTAGGCGTGATGCTACAGGCCCGGCCTCTGGTATGCAGTTGGAACCCCGCGGCAGGTTTTTCCCCTGGATAAATCACTGGCTCCCGGAGGGCTGAGGGAGGGGCAAGCAGATGACCTTCCATCTCTGGGGCCTGCTCAGGGCCACCCAGCCGGTGGAGCCAGACTCGGACCCACTGGTCTTCGTCCCAGAGGAGTCCAGAAGGACAGGGCAGCAGGGTGTCAGAGCTGAAGGGATCCTTAAGAGGCTTCAATGCCTATACCCATTTTACAGATGGGATGACTGGGGCTTGTGCCAGGTCACACAGCGGTGGAGGCAGAGCAGGGACCTGACCCCAGCACCCCTGGCTCCTGGCACTGTGGCCCATTAGTTCCATTCTAATCTCCTGGGAAATGGGGGGACTCAGCGTTAGCCTTGATGGGAACACAGCCGCTCCCGGCGGGGACGGGCTGAATGTGTGCTGTGTCACTTCTCTGCCCCAGGGTCGGCCTGCTGTGCTGACGACAGGCCAGGCTGAGGAGGCGGTGGGCTGGGCCGCCCTGACTCAGCACCACCAGTCCCAGCCCAGGCGCCCTGGTGGGCAGGGGGCCAGCATCTTGTCCAGGAAGCTGGACAGCGGGATCCCCATCCCAGTGGGGGAGAGGGGCCACTGTCCTTGCATTGGTACTGGGGGTGAGAGGAGGATGTGGGGGTGAGGGGGAAAGAGGTGATTCACGGGGAGAGAGAAGGTAGGGAGAGCTCCCGGCAGACAGGCGGGGCAGCCCAGGAAAAGCACCCTGTCAGCATCCGTCAGCGTCACAGCCCGGCCCCTGTGAGCCTGGGAAGCAGCAGAGCAGGGGAGATGGGAGAGTTGCAGGTAGCTTGGATGAGCTGCCCCTCCCTGCCCTGCCTCTCACTGCATCCTGCCAAGGCCAGGGCAGGACAGGCAGGGGACCTGTCCTAGAGTCTGAGGGCAACACAGGTCTGGTCCCTCCCCACTCCTCCACCCAAGAGCTAACCAGGTGATCTTGGCAGGGGTTAACCAGTGCGGCCTCAGTTACTACATCTTAAAAATGGAACAGATGACACTACACAAGATTATATAGTGCCTGGCACTCAATAAACAGCACCTACGGTTATCAGGGCAGCCCGTACACACACACCCCCCACACTGGCCATGGGCCCCAGGGTGGACATGGCAGGGAAGATGCAGGCTGAAAAGCAGGGGACTGGCTCCCCACGGTGCTGTCAGATGTGAACAAATCCCCGTCCTCTGCCCTTGGTGTCCCCGTCTGAGAGGAGGCACTTGGCCTCTGAGGCCCATCCTGTTGGGCCTGTGGCTCCCTGCTGTCTGAGCGTGGGCAGGGGTGGCATCAGTGAGTCTCCCTCTAGGAGGGATGAAAGCAGGGGGCAATGCCCACCTGTCCCACCTGTTGGGGGCTGCAGGACAGCACCAACTGGGACCACACAGACCAGGGTTCAGACCTGGGATGGACTTCCTCCTGGCTGTCACCTTACACAGGTGATGCCGATAATTTGGGGGGGCTTTTGTGGGGAGCATATTAAGTTATGGGGGGGCATGGGACTGCATGGGGTGGCTGGGTCTCAGCTCCGGCCATAGAGACGAGAGAGGTAGGGAGGAGGCCCCAGTGCCCAGCCTGGCCCCAGGCTCCCCTATCAGGCCCCATCACTGGGCCAGGCCATCTATCTTTCTGTCTGGGGGAGATTAGACTCTCCAGCTGTTCCCGTGCCGCCTGGGATCTGGGATCTGCCTCTGTCCTACTGCTGGTGGGGAGCAGGGCCATGGGGGGCAGGGAGGAGCCCAGGCACAGCAGGTCAAGTCCCCACCCAGGGCCTCAACTTCCCCAGTTTTAAAAAGGGAGAGGAGGCTGGGTAATGGGATCCCAACAGGCCCTCCTGGGGGACTGGGTCCCATGACCTCCAGCCAGGCGCCCACGTCAGCAGCGCCCTCCTACCCCACAGCAG